ACACAGAGTCTAACTCTGCACACAGCCCTTGGCTCTCCAATGCCAGGTCATAGGTCACTCTACTGCCACTGTCCTGCAGCGTGAGGCTTAAAGAGCTCCTGGACAAGGGCCTGGCTGGCAGCAGAGAGCCAAGTTCGCTGTCAGCACCAGCACTTGCTCCCCTTGAGCAAACCTTCCTAGGCTCAGGTGGTCCCAAGAAGGACCCAGAGGTCCAGGACCACACGATGAGGCTGGGCCAGCACAGCACAACTATCCTGACGAGGAGCCCGACCCCCCACCAGCCTCTGCTCACGATGCTACCTCTGCTTTCACCCCCTCCTTTCCTGCCAATAAAACTCCTACCCTGTCATCAGAGCCCAACTTAAATATCCCTTCTGTGGAGATAGTAGGAATGAGTCCCTGGGGAGCAAACAAGGTGGTACTGGGAGAGCGGGGGCCTGCTGGGGCATGAGGGCAGCCGGAACTCTGGAGCGGCGATGGGCCTGCAGAGAGGTGCTGCCTGGAGCCCTGGGGGTTCAGGCTGCCCCTGGGAAAGGGCATGAGCCTCCCCTCGGCTGGAGGATGAGCACCAAGGTCCCGCCGTGGGGCTGGCGGTGCCCTGTGCCCACCAAGCAGTCAGCGGGGGGGTGTGTTCTCTGCATCGGCAGGGGGGGGGGGGGGGGGCAGCCGTGCCCTCGGCCCCTCTGGGCTAGCCCCCTGGTCCCAGGCTCGGGCCTCAGCCCCGCTCAGGGCAGTAGAGACAGCTGTGCAGGCTGAGCTCCAGTCTCCATGAGAAGCCACTGCTGCAATATGATGTCGTGAGTCGCTGTCTGGGTGACACAGTGGGAGGCCAAGCAGCCCAGCCCTCGTGGAGTCCCCAGGCAAGGGGCAAGTATCGGGGCCCCTGAGGACGCTTCTTACCCGCAAAGCGTAAGGGCAAGAGGAGCAGCGGGATCTCGTCCCGTCCCGTCACACCAGGTGCTGCTCCATCCAAACCAGGACCCAGGGCTGGCCGGTGCAGTCAGGCTGACCCACCAGGGCCCTGAGCCGAGAGCCCCTGGATCCACACCGAAGAGTCACGTGTAAAGAGTTGGCAACTCTGTCCTTCCAGCCAGGTCACCAGACCAAGCAAGGGTTGGGCTGCCAGGTTTAGCACATAAAAATACAGAAAACTTGGACTTCACAGAATGAATGATTTCAGTATAAGTACATGCCGTGCGATATTTAGGATATACTTATACTAAAAATTTATTTGTTGTTTCTCTGAAATTCAAGTTTACAGGGTGCCTTGTATTTTAACTGGCAACCTTAGGTAACGGGTGTCAGAAGCCAGGCCAGGCCTTTACGTGACCTCTGGGCAGAAGCCACAGCACTGAGACAGGTAAGGCAGGTTGTGTGCAGTATCTAGGAACCAAGCCCCACTGGATCCAGGCTCCCGTCACCACTGGAAAGGTTCTCAGTTCTCCTGGGCAACAGCATTACCAACTTCTCCAGCCTCCCAACTAGCAAGCACATACCCCTGATACCGACCCAGCCACAAAATTGTTTCCCATCTGTCAGTTGGGGCCTTTTATGCTGAGGGAAAGGAAAACAAACCTAGAAAATCCAACTAGAACGGTCTTAAGCAGCAAGAGACTGGATGGGAACTCATAACTGGAAAATCTAGCAGCACATGAGCTTCAGGGAAGGTTTGATCCAGAGGTTTGTCACCTGCCACTCCAGGGGCCACTACACCGACAGCCCTGCTGAAATCAAGTCCAGACGCGGCACCAGCATCTTAGGGTGATTCCAGGCCCAGCCTGTGGCTCTTCCCAGGGACACCCCAGACCCCATGGAGACGGACATGCCGACGCATGCAGCCCCCCACGTGCAGAATGTGTGATCATGACGGATGGTTGCGGGCGGCACTGGGTGCAGGACCCCCACCTGCACCAGCACCAAGATCCCCCAGGAGGAGGCCCAGCCTGGGGAGAGTGAAGAGCCCCCAGGCCGAAGATTTGCAGGATCCCTCCCACCCCCACCGAGAACTGCATTTCCCCAGAGAGGGCCCAGGACTGCTGAAATCCATCACCAGTACAGCAGATGTAGGGACAGAAGAAGTGGGGTTCGCGAGACCTGCTCGTTTCTTGGATCACGGCGCCACCGTGTGGACAAAGTCTGCTCGCCACCCAGCAGCTCTTCGCAGACCAAAAAAGCACACTCCCGCCCCTCCACTCAGACAACCACCATGGACTTTAGAAAATAAAGTACACGCAGGGCGTAAGGTCTCAGAAGCCCATCGGGCAACCCTCTCCTGGGACAACCAGTTTTTGTGCTCCTTCTGTACATTGTTTGGGTGCACAAAAGTCACACACACACACAACCCTAGACTCCTTCCAAGGTGCCCCACACTCCTGCTCTGCAGGGCTCGGTGATGCTTTTGCCAACAGTCGTGCTGGACAGGATGTCGGCTCACTCGGGCCACCATCGGGGACCCCCATGGCCAAGCTGGCATCTGCAGGCTGGCCGGTGCCAGCGTGGCCGGCACGGACAGCCCCAGGCTTGGGGCCCCAGGCCGGGGGCAGGGGGGGCGGGGGGATTGGGGGACTGGGGACAGGGAGTGCAGGGCAGCGGCCGGGACCACAGCGCTGGTCCTGGGCCCCAACTCTGCAGAACTTCCCGCAACTTCTCACCCCCTTGTGCCTCCGTTTCCTCAACTGTCAAATGGTGTGGGGATTTGAGAAAAGTGCCCGGCACACAGCTAGTGCTGGAACATGCCCTCTCACCATCACCGCGACTGTCATCAGAACGATCTGGCGGAGCCCCAGGCTCCCTGGGCCCGGCTGTGGCCAAGACGGGCTGCACGAGGCAGGAAGCTCGGGACCTGGAAGCAGCAGGACGGCTCAGGTGTCCGGTTTGCTCCTCGGGGCAGGCGGGGCGGGGGGTGGGGGAGGGCTGGCTGGGGGGGGGGGGTGGGGGGGTGGGAGGACAGCCTGAGAACTGGACGGCTCCCGCCAACCAGCAGGGGGCACAGCGTGGAGGCCGAAAGAAAAAGTCTCCTGGGGGGTTTGTGAAAACAGATTCCTGGGCCCCACTCATAGAGCCTGATCACGGGCAGAGCCTGAGAAGCTGCATTTCCATCAAGGGCCCAGGGAGTGATGACTGGGCACTGGGCAGGGGACATTTCAAGCAGGAAGGGGTGGCAGGAAGGGTGAGTGATGAACAGACCCGCCAATGAATGAGTGGGGCTCAGTGCAGAGCCCACGACCCCAGCAGGCTGAGGACGGGGCAGAAATAGTGCACGTACACACCTACAGTCACACATGCACAGAGACACAGACACAAAGACACATATGAACACACAGACTCGAAAGCAATGTACACTCTCACACACAGATACATACAAGCACAGACACCTGCACAAATGTATGGGTCAGTGGTCTCCAGAAAAACAAAGGCAGTAGGGTGTGTGTATGTATGAAGAGACTTATCACAAGGAATTGGCTCATGGGATTAAGGAGGCTGAGAAGTCCAGACCTAGGACAATCTGAGTCTGAGTCCGAAGGCTGGAGAAGACTGATGTCCCAGCTGGAAGATAGGCAGGCAGAGGATTCTTAGTTCCTGGCCTTAGTTCTATTCAGGCCTTCGACTGAATGGACAAGGCCCGCCACGCAGGAGGGCCGGGTGCCTTAGTTTACTGGCTCCAGCACTGATCTCCAGAAACACTCCTCGTGGACACACATGGGATCATGTTTGACGAAATGTCTGGGCCCTCAGTGGCCCAGTGGACACATAAAATCAACATCACAACATACATACAAAACACACAGACTTATACACATCTGCGTGTAAGCACATACACACCTTTCATTCACACTCAGAAAAACACACTTCCATATGTTCACATTCAGACACATGTAAAGACTGGATGCACTCGCATACACATGACACATGTACACAGTGCACACATGCACACTTCCCCGGGGGCCCGTAACGCTGCTCTAACCCCAGTTCCTTCCTCCTCTCTGGGCCTCTGCTCGCCCCCAGGCCTGGGCGGCGAGGTGCACCATCACCCACATTCACAGACAACAGGGCCGAGGGCCGGAGACAGTGCAGTGACAGGCAGGTCCCATAACCGCTCTGAGCTCCCCAACCCCCAGAACTTCTGAAAGTGGGAATGAGCCACCGCACTGAGGACATGCAGGAGTGACCACCGGCTCCCGAGGTACTGCAGGGTCAAGGCCGTGAGCACAGGGGAAGCCCAACTCCTTGCCATGCCTGGTGGAGGGCACAGGCACAGTGGCCGTTTACATTCACGACATCCCCAAATCCTCAGCATAACCTGAGGAACTGAGGCTTGGAGACCCCCACCCAAGGTGAGCCAGGTGTTCAGAGGTAGAGCCTCAAGCCTTTTGGCTCCAAGGCTCCCAACTCCTAACCGTGGGCCTGGCCTAGAGGTTGGGCAGAGGGCCGGGACCTCTAGGCCAGACACTGTTCCTCTCCTTTGCCAGCTCTGAGCCAAAAAGGTTCAAGAATCCATCACTCATCAGCAAACGCTGTTCCTCACCCGGTTCCAGGCCTGGCGAAGTTCATCCTCTGAACTGCAGTCTGCACCCTGTTTTCCTGCTACTTGCCAGGGAAAGTCGCCTAATTCACGCCAGCAGGAGGGCAGTCTCCTGCAGGGGGCCACTCAGACCCCAGAATCTAGGCCTGAGGAGCGTACCCTTTGGAGAAGGAACCCCAAGTGTGTGTGCTTCTGAAAATCCCTGCTCATTTTTCTGCTGCAACGTCTCTTCCATGTGTTTCAAGGGTAGAAAATCGCAGAAGTTTTGTTCACAGCTCTCACCTCTTCCTCCCCTCCCCTGCAAATAATCGCTGTTTGGAAACTTTTACAAAGGAAGCGGTTGAGCGTGTAGCTGGCTAGATGTGGAGATGAAGAGCAATAAACCACCACCCACACCCCAGGCAGGCGGTTCGCGGGGCGGTGCTCCCCCAGCACCTCGCTGCCGGCGCCCCTGCTCAGCACAGCCCTGCGTGCAGCCATGTGTCCTGCCGGGGTACTGCTGGTCGTCTGTGGCCTCGTCCTGGGTGCCACGGGGGACCCTTCGCAAGGTAAGAGGGGGCCTCCCCACCGTCCAGGCGCCGTGAGCTTGACCCCCAACCCCGTTCCCAAGGCACGTTCCAGGGGACCTCACAGCAGCTGCCTTTGTGGGGAGTAAGCTTCGGCAGAGAGGGGGACTGGGGGGGTCTGGGGACCGGGGAAGTGCCTTCTGTCCCCCACCGCTCCAGGGGTCTGCAAGTACCCAAGGGAGGCCCGCCACAGCCCCTCCACCGAGACAGCGCACAGGGTAGCGGTCAGGCCGTTTCTATTTGATGGTGCACCCTTCCTGCCTCTGCTGCTTCCTGTAACTTGGCTCGGGGGAACCTAAGTCTTCGTCCTTCCAGCCAGTCCAGAGTTGGGGGGAGGGCGAGGGGAGCCGCCACCTGTAGGCCAGGAAATGAGGCACAGAGATGTTAGGCGACTTGCCCAGTAACATAGCCCATGAGCACCTGCCCCCTTGTGCACGAGGAAGCTGGTAGCCGGGGCTGAAGTGACCAGCGGGAGGTGGAGGGTGCACAGCCCCCAGGTAGCAACTGGTCTCTGCCCTCCTCCCTCTTTGAAGAGGTCTGGAGCCTGGCCACGGGTGACCAGGTCGGGGGTGCCCAGGCAGGTGCCCAAGGGACAGCCTGAGCCTCTCAGTCCCTGGAGGTCACAGCCTCGGAACTGGGTGACACCGCCTGGGGCTCTGGACCATCTCAGGCACCACGGGGACGGGACATCCTGCCTCTGCCCCCTCCCCCAGCCGCGGTCTTGGCTCACACCATTAAGCCTCACAGGCCCTCTCCTCCGGGAGCTGCCTGTCCTCCTGGGCCCCCTTAGTGCCCAACCGAGGAGGCCAGACCAGGGAAGTAAGTGACTCCCTCTGAAAGCCTGAGTGAGGGGCCCGCCATCTCCACTGCACTGGGATGTAACGTTCGTGCCCTCTGTCCCGCTTTCCTAAGCTGCTCCTGCCAGCCTTGTTTCCTCCCCTAACAAGCGGGGCAGAGCAGGATTGTGTGGGGAATCCTGGCCTAGGAGGTGCTGGACGTTGGCCTCCTTTCCTTGGCAGGACTGCCTCCCCTCTGCTGGGGTTTGGTGCTGGACCAAACCCTCTCCAACCCAGTCCCACACCTGCCCCCTCGGGAGGTGGAAGACGGCCTGCCCTTGACACAGCCCTCTGGCTGGCCTGGCCCTCCCCCATCAGGCCTGCTCTCAGCCCCACAGCCCAGATGGAGGAGGGTCCAGAGTCCAAGCCACATGCAGAGGCCTTGGGACCTGGAGCCTCTCTGAGCCTCAGTCTCACTGCCCATGAAATGGGTAAACCACTGCACCCCTCAGGCCCTGGAGGCTCCTGGCTGCGGTGGCCCACGGAAGGCAATGCCCCGGGCCTGGGGTGGGGGGCAGCCGCCCACCCGCACCCCTGCTCCTGAGCCTCTGCTGGCCGCAGCCCCTACGCCACACAGATCCCTTCTGCTGCCCCCTTCAGGTGACAGGTGACGGCCCCAGCGAGGGCCTCGGGCTCGAGTGAGTGGCTTGGAGGCCCCCGTCTGGGGGCCGAGAAGAGACAGCTCAGCCCTAGACCCGAGTCCGCCCCTCAGCCCCACGGCCTTCCTCTGAGAACAGATCCTAGAGCCTTCCGTGGTGGGAGGACAGGGGCCCCGAGTGTCGCCACCTGGGAACCTGGCTTCTCCCCACCCCTGGCGCTCAACTACACTGACCTAAGCCCGGCAGCCTCCCTCCCCAAGCCCTTGAGAACCTAGGAAATTGCTACATCGATTTCTTCAGCCACTCTTCCTTCGGTTGAAAATGGAAACCCTTTTTCAACCTGACTCTCATCTCTCCTGGGAAGCCCTCCCAGTCGGGCTCACAGGGGCCCATCTTCCCATCACAGGCCGCCTGGCAGGGTCTGGGGTCCAGCAGCCATCATCACCAGTGGCAGGACCCAGAGACCACCCACCACAAGGGAGGCCCAGGTCAGCCTGCATCCCAGGGTGGGGGGTGGGGGGGAACTGCTGCATCTCAGCGTGAGGGCCACTGGCCCACCCTCTGCATTTTGAGGTTTCTTTTTTCCAGTGGGGACACCCATCTGTCCTCAGAGCGCCACTGCAGCCATTTCACATATTTGATAATCATGACACTATGGCATGTCCTTTATCGACAAGATCTTCCTATGGATGGTCTCCTGTATTTCCACCACAACCCTGTGGGGTTGGTGCCATCATCACCCCATTATACAGATGGGGACACGGAGGCTCAGAAAGGTCAAGCAGTTTCCCCAAAGCTGTACAGCCTTTGAGAGGCAGACTTGGGACTCACTCTGGGCATGTCCCAGTGGATTAAGGCGGGGACTAACCAGCATCTTGTTTGTGCCAGGGGACACCTATGCTCTCAAAACAACGGGGCTACTCATTAGTCAGGGCCCCCAGAGCACAGCAGGGTGGGTGTGGCCGCACGGAATTAAGGGCAACCACCAGCACACTGAGTTCTGGTGTCACGTGAGGGGGCGAGGCTCGGAGTGAACCTCCAGGTGGGCAGTGGACACCAGCACCCCGCTCTCTGCGCACAGCCCTCCTAGTGTGCGCTCCAGGACCCCGCCCATGACATGACAAGGGCCCCATGATGCTGGCAGGGAAGCGGCCACCACGAGGAGACCACCGGGGACACGGTGGGGCGGCCTCCAGTGGGGGCCTCAGTGTTTGGCTCCTGGGCACCCTGGTTCCCTTCTCGGGTCCCCCCACCTCCCAGCCACACACAGGACACTCCTGAAACAGGAAGGGGTGGGGAGCCCCAGCTGCCTGAGCAGCCCCCTCTCCCTTCCACACCAGGGAGGGAGGGGCTGCGTGGCCGGAGGCACTGGACTCTCCAAAGGGCCCAGCACCCCTGGACGCACAGCCAGCGTCCCAGGCTCCAGCGCCTCCTACGGGACATCATCCCATGTCTTCATTTCTCAGAAAAGCAAGCTGAGGGATGCTTACCAAAAACATCTGCTGCTGTGGCTCATTTTACCAGCTGTTCTTTGTCAGGAAGTTGCTGTCCTCTCCTGGGACATGTGCTGCATGTTTGGTGGTAACTGGAGGGCAGACTCCATCCTCTTTAACCCGCATAGCAACAGTTAACTGTTGCCGCAACCCAAAGGGCTGCTGACCATCTCCCCCAGGCTCCGGCCCCACCTGCTCAACTGTGGATCTGCCTGAACCCCTCGATGTTTGTGAAGTGCCCACACACTGGTGGAGGGAATTGAGTGCTCCAACTGGTGAGGGCAAGCGCAGAGCCTGGCCACCAAAATCAGTGGGGCCGGTGTTAGTTCTGAAGAAGGGGGTGTAGGGACAGGACAGGACAGGAGCTGGAGTAGGAATCACTTGTGACTTAGATGGAAAGTTACACTTTTCAGCAAGAAACATCAGAATGTTTCCTTGACGTTTTGCTTCCCATTCTGATCACAGGACAGGAGAGACTCCTTGACTCCCTTGAATTAGGTTGAATCAGGGGGTGTCGAAGGGGCCTGGGGTGAGTTCACAGAAGGGGGTGGCCGGGAGTCCACTGGTGCAGTCTGCGCAGCCCAGGGGCCTGCAGGATCCCCAGCCGTGCTGGCTCCTGGAGCAGGTCCCAGCTGTGCCAGGGCAGGTGGGAAGGATCTGCCAGAGGCAGGTCCCGCACTGCTTCCTGCCCACGCTCTCAGTCCCAGGGCCAGCTCCACCGCCCAGGTCTGAGAGGACAGGCTGGGCCTCTGCCGTCCTCCCTCCAAGCCTGGTGCCCTGCACACTGCGCTCGCCCGGTGCTCTTACAACTGTGCATCCGGGGGCGGCTGGAGCCCCCGCTCAGTACCCAGCACAGCGCTACTGTCACCCTAATCTTCCCAAGTCTCCGGCCCCCCATCTCTTGCCCAATCTCCTGCCGTCTTGAGTCACTGTTTTCAAGACCAGCTGAAAAGCTGCTTCTCTCCCAAGAGCAGTAAGGGGCCCTCTTCTCTCCTTCCTGACTCAGCCCTCACCAAGGGCTCTGCCCGCCTCCCCCTCCCAGTGCCTTTCTGGGCCAAAGCCTCCATGCCCCGCCCGGCAGGGGAGGGGGGAGGGAGTCCGGATCATTTGGAAACCTCACTTCTCTGCGCCACCCAGCCCTCCCCCACCCCAGCGTGTGTGATGAAGAGTGTTTGTTCCTCCTCACAACCTCTCCTTCTGGTTGTCCTTTCAGTCCACGTCACCAGGCCACCACCTGCCACCGGTGTGACTCACGATCCCCCCGTGGCCCCCGCACCCAGCCTGCAGCTAAGGGCGGTCAGGTCTGCCTCGTGCTCTGCTCTCTGCTCCCCTGGCCCATCTCCGTGCCTTCTAACTGGCCCCCACCCCCAGCTCCCTCTTTGAGCCCCTTCTGCCGGATCACTGTCCCGCCCCCAACCTGGAGTTGCCCACAGCAACCAGCGAGAAATATTTCTTGAGAGAAAAAGAGCATGGCTTTCACACCTACGTTTAACCCACCCTGCACTCCTTCGAGGCCTGTTTCCTCCCTGTAGATGGGACCACGGCCAGCCCAGGGGGGACCCCTTGGCGGTGGTGGGAGGGGGCTAGCTGGCTGGGGCCCAGGGCCCCCGGCTGCCTGTCTTCTTCCAGAAGGAGAGCCCCTCTTTGGGCTTATTCTGCACCAACCTTGCCCTGTGGACATTCTGCAGAATTGCTCTGAAAATAGGTTTGACTTTTCAACTTTTTAAAATTAAAAATGGGGTTTTACTGTTTGTTTAGATAACTCTGCTGATGAAGCCTCACTTAACTGAAGCCCATATTTCAGGAAATGTAGTTAAAAATAAACCAACTTCATGTTTCCTACAACCTCTTCGTAACTTTACCAAAATCACTTAGGAACTGACATCACACGTTTGGCAGAGACATTCATCACCTAGTTTCACTTCATTATTATAAACATGTTAAGTTCAAGCGAAATTAAATGTAGTATACTTTATTTAAAAAACAGGTAGCAGTGGTTACCTTTGCAACACTGAGAGGGAGCTCTAATGTTTCTGTTGTACTTTTCTGTGTTTTTCAAGTTTCCTACCAAACAAGTAAGCTTATAATCAGAAAAAGCAATATATGTAATTTGTACAAAGAAAAAATAGCCGTGGATATAGACCCACAAACACATGGGCGACAGGACCGTCCACCAGGTGGTCCTTCCCGTCTGCTGTTCGGACTATGCTGACAAGCAGAAATCAAGCGGTTTTCAAAACAGAAAACCACACTGGACTTCCTGTCATCAACAGCAGGCCAGCAGCCCTCAAAGCACCAGAGTCAGAGCCATGGGCTCAGGGCCCAGCCAGCCGACCAACCCAGCTGCCACGTCCAGAGACCTCAGCCACGGCCCAGCCCAGAGTCTGTGGGGACGTCATGTGAGGGCCGGATTATGGCAAAGGAGACTCTCAGAGACGTTGGGGACAAAGCTTCGTGGGGGAGGAGCGACAACCTCACCTGCTGGGAAGCTCTCATGGGGGTGGAGCAGGCCTCCCAGCTGAGGGGGCCTCACAGAGCCATCCAGAGCTCCATCTCGACCCAGGGACCCAGCTGGGGCCCACCGGCCAGGAGGGGTCCCGCTTGGGCGGGCAGTGCCAGCCCCCCTTACAAAGAGGCTGTCGTGAGTGCCAGCGGCTCACCCCAAGGGCCATGGGCCCTCTGCAGATTCTACCCAGACTGGACCCACGCCTCCTTTGCCCACTGCCAGAGCCCCCTCCACCGCTCCACCCACCTGGAGAGGAGACCCCTCAGCAAGGCCGCATAGGGCCAGCTCTGGCCATCCTGATTCTCGCACCCAGTGGGGGTCTCGTGTGCCCACTGCCACAGCAGATGTCCAGTTCTAAGGAGGGCTCTGTGCAGACCTCAGGCGGCGGGCAGTGGAACCAGCCTCCTCCGAAAACCTCGCTCTAGGCTGAAGGGCTCACTGACACCCTGGCAAGACCTCCCCACTGAGGTGAGCTGAGCTGGCATCCGCCGTGTCTCGCCCTCTGCTGTGACCCGCGTACAGGCCGGCCCCCAGAAGAGGTCCCAGCGTACTGGACTGACCCCGGCCCAGGCTCCTGACATAGCTGCACACGGGCCGTCCTGCCAGGTGCCTGGGTCCCGGCCCAGCAAGGCCACTGACCCTGACCCCAACCCCCAGCTGAGGTGAAGGTCCTCAGCTGGGGGGCCCTGTCTCCAGTGGGACAGCCCCGTCCAGCCCCTGAGGAACAAAACCCCCAAGCACTGCCCACCTCACACCACTGCTTTCCTCCCACGAGTCGAGACTTCTTCACAACCAGGGAACCGTGGCCTCAGTACGGCGGGGCCCACACCCAGCACCCTGGGTCTGCAGTCCCAGTGAGTCCCCCGTGAGGATGGGACCCGGGCAGCACTGACCCCTCCTTTCCGCATGCAACGCCCGGAAGCTCGTCCACGAGTCTCTACTTCCTGTGGCTCCAGCGGGTCCACGACGTGCTGACCCCACCCCCACTGAATGCACCACAGGTGCTCCCCAAGGTCACGAGCAAGGGAGGCAGAGTGACCCTCCAGGGCAGCGCAGGGCAGTGGACCCTCCACACCGGCCAGGACACAGCTGATCCCCGATGCAGGCCGTGCACGAGGCGCGGACCCCACTCTCCACGCGACTCAGTGAAAGAAAACAGCTGAGCTGGCACCAGGGAGTGGGTCAGCTCCAAGTCACTTCTGGCACAAGATGATTTCAGGAAAATCTGGGGAATTCTTAGAAAAGAGAAGTAATCTACAACCCTAAACCCTCTTCCCATTCTCCCTCCCCCTCAACTTAGATTTATATAAAAGTAGTCCGTGGCCACTGCAGCAAAACTGAGAAACACAAATTCGAAATCAAGTCACCCCTAAGCCACCAACTAGAAAAGCCACCACCCACCTGTTGCCCAAACACCCCAAAGAAGGCAGCACATGGGCGCCACGGGGACCTGGCAGCTGGACGGATTCGGTCGAGAGTCCTGGGGGCGGAGGACGGCCTTCAAGCACTTCCCCTCGGCCACTTGCTGGGGACAAGCTGAGGGGTCAAAGCCGGAGGGCGGCCTCAAAGGCCAGGGCCGACTTCTCGGAACACCAGGGCTCATCCTGACAGAGGCTCCAGGCCTGAGGGCGGGCAGGGTGTCCAGGCTCCTGTAACTGTTGGAAACAACCTGGGTTCTGAAAGGACAGAACCCAGGGACACATGCAGGCAAGGACAGGACGGGACCGCATCTTATCCACCTCTGCGCCGCCCACCACACTGGCCCTCAGCTGAGGACGGGGCAACCACAGGGACGGAGGGCAGACGCACTGGGGAGCGAGAGATGGAAGGGCCGGCAGGGTACACGGCCATGGGACGGGAGAACAGGCCGGGTGGGCGGGTGGGGCGGACACCACACTGGGAGCAGAGGCGGGAGGCATGATCCCTGGACCAAGGACGCCCCCCCCCCCCACAGTAACGTTCTTGTCTGGTTCTGTTTCTCGTCCAGATTTTTGTTCCCAGATCCTTAACTCGGGTGTGAAGCCAGGATTTCCCAAGACTATCAAGACCAACGACCCGGACGTCCTCAGGGCAGCCAGACACAGCGCCGAGAGCTTCAACAACTGCAGCAACGACGCCTTCCTGTTCCGGGAGTCACACATCAGCAGAGCCCTCGTCCAGGTGGGTTCAGGGCTCAGGACTGCCCAAGGCGGCCAGAACCGGACCGGGGCCACCAGAGTCGGGCACCAAGGCCGGCGCCATCTCTCACTGCACCAGGCTCCTCCCGGGAAGCACACAGGGAGGAGGGCGGGCGAGGGCAGCCCCGCTGCCCACCTTCAGGGCTGCCTGCCTGCCAGGCTGCCCGCAGGCCACTGCTCCACGGCCCCAAAGCACTTGCGGCCACGTCCCCCAACCACTGCCCCGTCCCTGAAGGAGTGTAACACCCTGTGAGGTCCCCATGCTTCTCAGCGGCCCCATATGAGCAGCTCAGTGTTCCCCCTCCCACGGGGACACCACGAGGCAGCCAGGCGTGGCTCGTCCTGGGTCCCAAGAACACAGGTCAATGAGTGTACAGGACACAGTCAGTGACAGGACGCAGCCACTCTCGAAAAGCAGGGGCCTGGTGCAGCCAGTCAGCAAGCTTCACAGTCACTGACCAGGGAGCTGGCCTTGGGGAGAGAGACCCACAGCCCCGAGGATGTGTGCTGCCCGACACCACCCCACATGCTGACTCACGATAACGGTCACCCCCGGGTACAGGATTGGGGGGCTGACTTTATTATCTCTCTTCTCTTTGGTAACCGCAAACTCTAAGAGCGGGATGCTGTCCCTATCGTGGAGGGTGGTCTGCACGGGTGTAAGAAGCCAGTGTCAGGACTCCAGGGGCCCAGACCCGGGGACTGGGGTCTTTAGCCTCCACTGCCTGCAGGAGCGCATGCCCAAGCCTGGGGGGAGGGAGGTGGGCCCCCAGCTCACCCTATCTCTCACCATGTCCTAGACCCAGTGACCCAGGCCCGCCCTCTATCCCCTCAGATAGTGAAGGGCCTGAAGTTCATGCTGGACCTGGACATCAGCAGAACCAGCTGCAAGAAGACCAGGCACTCGAGCCTGGACGACTGCAGCTTCCAGACCAACCGCACCCTGAAGCAGGTAAGAGGGCTCTGGCCTCCCCACGGCTCACCACCCCCCAGCCACCTCCACAGCCTCGGAAATCACCCTCGGCACTGGTCAACCGGCGAGGTTCCCGATCCCACCCCTGAGCAGCGCCCACGTCCACCCCCGACACGGGAGAGCGAGAGGCAGCCTCCCAGGACTTCCCACACGACACCCCTCCTCGCTCCCACAGGCACACCTCCAGGGAGTAAACACTGCAGGTTTGGGGGTGGGGGGAGAGCAAAAGAAAACTTGTACATAATTGAGAAATTTTATATACACACACGGGGAGAGCATATGTGGCAAAATTTGGTAATATGTAAATACATGTGTTGAGTACATATTTTTTAATTATTTTCAACTTTTCTGTAAGTTTGAAATTTTTCAAAATGAAGTCAGGGCAGGGAGCGAATTCTTCCGTAAAGAAAACACACATGCACATGCGTGGGCGCACACACAGACAGGCACACACGTGAGCACACAAGCACAAGCACACACGTGTACACACACACACACACACACACACACACACACACACACACGCCCGAGGCAGTGGCACTGGGTACCCACCTCTGCGGCAGGTGAGGTCACCCTGGCGGGGTGGGAAGCCCCCGTGAAGGGGGACTCTCAGGCCACCCTCGTTTCAGACTCTCAGCTGCTACTCTGAAGTCTGGGTCATCCCCTGGCTCCAGAGCTTCAAGGTGCCTGTCCTCCGCTGTCACTGACTCCCGCCTCCCAGCTCCATCCCTGCTGTCGTGGGCCCTGGGAAACAGCATCTCCTGAGAGCAGATTGGCAGACGGCTGGATTGAACACATCAAGTCTCCTTCCAAACTTAACTAGTCTCCCCGACGCTGTGCAACCAGATTCAGGGTCTGCACAGACAGGGCAAGTCCTCCAATGGGGATTACACGGGTTCTCGACCCCGAGGGGACCTCCCACCTCACTGCCCTGAGGTCCCAGGCACTCGAGGACCTTTCCATCTGAATAACCGTCCCTGCACTGGGCAGCGACCAGGCATCAGTGAGTCTTGGGTGAATAGTTAGGAATAAACCTGAATAAAGAACTGATCATCTCGAAGCAATGCCTGCTGCTTGACCTGCTAAGGGGAGAATGGGGAAGTCAGGAGGCCCCCTTCCCTCCACAAAGCCCTGGGGGGCCTCGCCACTGAACTGTACTGAAGACCAAAGCCCCAAGGCCCCCCACCTCCAGCTGCGCTGTCCTCTGCGCATCCCACCCCCACGTTCTCTGCTGCCTGAGGCTCATTCTCTGCTGCCTGAGGCTCATTCTCTGCTGCCTGAGGCTCAGCAGCTGCGCCTGGGCAGGTAGGTGGGCAGGGACGGAGCAGATCCCACGGCTCGGCCCGGAGAGGGAGGCAGGGTGGGGGACCTGCTGGGCGGGGGCACCGCCATGGGTGGGAAGGCAGGAAGGCCTTCGCAGTGGAGGCGGCACAAGGCTGGGCCAAGCGGGAGCAGGGGACCCAGACGCCTGCACTGTGAGCCCGGGCGTCCTCATCCAACTACGGATTAGCGCAAAACGTGCTGTCACCTTTAAAAGAACGACTCGATAATTCACAGGAAACAAAAAACGTGCATTAAATTTGGCGACTTGGCTCGCTGTCATAAACGTGACAAACACGAACCCCCAAGTGAAGTTCCTCTGGCTCCTGCGGCGATGGGCGATGAGAGTCACGATAATTCCACAGCCGCCTCCATTTCTGCGGCCCTGACTCACCTCCTGGTCACTAATTCAGGGGCAGTGGCGGCCACTATGCCATGCGATGCTGGACTCATTCGAGACTCTGAAGGCCCCTGAAGGCAGCCCTCTCATGAACACAAGCAAGTTCAGCCCCTGCTTGACCCCATCCGTCAGCAGGATGGCAGGCACACCGGGGTCCAGCACCAGGGCCAGACGCTTCAGGACACAGCTGTGGGGCCCCCGTGACTGATGCAGGGGACACAAGCTCTAAGGTCCCCTCCGTCCTCACTTTCAAACACGCACCAGAGCACAAGGCGAAGTGTCTCCTGACAACTGTGAGACCCACCGGACGCTGCCCCACAGGCCTCACATAGTGTGAGAAAGAGGTGTGAGGGGGAGCAACCTCATGGCACCCCTGCCCCCAACTCCCCCTGTGCCCGTGACAGCGTCACTTACCACAGGGAGTGGATGTCAACCAGTGGTGGCCTGAAGTCCCATGCTGCCACCCAATTCTACCTGTTTTTTAAAACTTAGCAGCTTTGCTCTAAGAGGGAATGACTCTGACAGCGGGAAGCTGCACCTTCATCTCATTCACTGTCACTGGGAAAATGTAAAGTTAAGGACACAGGATTCTAAGACATACAGTACCAGAATCATGACCAAGAAGAAGAAACACCTGAGGTCTCAAACTGACCACAACCAGTCAAACTCCCGACAGACAGGCCTACCCTGCTCTGTGTTCCACAGCCTCCCCGCCAGGCCCTCCGCCCCTGCTCACCAGCCGTGCAGACTCTGGGATTCAGCTTCAGGGCCTCCACTCCATATGCAGCCCAGCCCTCCCCGGGATGCAGACAGGCCAGGCCCTGAGGAACGCAGCCACCCAGAGGACCACCTGCAAGGCTTAGCCCCACTGCTGTCCCACCTCGGTGCCCAGGACATAGGCACCCGCAGGCCTAACCCCTGTACTGGGCAGCCACCCTGCCTCCTCGCCCCCAGCCGCCTGTGCCCCTAGGCAGGTCCCTCCCCAGCCTCAGTTCCCCCATGAGACGCAGCCACGTCTCCTTATTATCACAAAGAGGTCAGTGCACATGAAAACTCAACACGGCAGAGAGAGAAGGCTGATGACAAAAACCTCAACGCGGGGCCTCTGTCCTATAAAAAGCAGCAACTGAGTCCTGATGGAGTTTTTGTAACGATAACAAAGCAGCACACAGTGAATGAATCACTTAATTTAATTTTGAGATCATGTTAGTAATTCCCATTAGAGTAAATCCGTTTCATGTTTACAACAAAAACCTATCATATATTTAAGCCTAATGAGGCTATTATTTTGCACCTCATCATGGCAAATTACCAGATAAAACACAGGAAATGACACTTTGAGACAGAAAATCAACATCTGAGTCAAAGCAAAAAAAAGACACCTCTGCTGAAAACTGTGAAAAGCTACCAGTTTCTCTGCACTGAGAGCACAGCCCTCAGTTCCCAACCAAGAAGAAATGTTCAGGGTCAGCATGCTTGGGTTCTGTGTTTTCGAGGCAGAATGGTCAGGTTTCACCTTACTATTCCTGCAGACTCGATACACGGGTGCACTGTTGCCTGTTAAAAAGCATTTCCTATGAAGTTACATCACCTGACAGGACACGGGTCACATCACGGCCATGCAGCCAGTCTGACTCTGCTGTACGCGGCTATGAGTAAAGCTGGCCCTGAGCAGGCAACTCGGAATGAGCCCCCATCAGACCCTGACTCTCTCCCCTAAAATGGTGCGGAGCAGGGAGGGGAAAGGAGCTATGAACCAGCATAAGACACAAATGGTCTCGCCACGATGTCGGCCATCCTTGACGTTCAATGTCATCCCCTAGTCAAAATATTGTCTTTTCAAGTTACAAAGACAATTCCAGAGACACAATCCCTGGTGTGTTCTCACAAATATGCAGGAAAGGAAGGAGCAGACATCAGCCCCACCTTGCAGAATGGAAACAGGAGAGCAGTGTCATGTGGACTGAGTCAGCGTGGGAGGCAGGCGGCCACAGGGGAGGCCCCGAGCAAATCTAAACATGACCCCAGCAGAACGGCCCTCACGACAGGCAGAGGACAAGACCTCACTCACTGTTAAAGTAGATTAAAGCACAGAAGAAATTCCCAGGCAACACCATCAAGAGGTTAACCAGCAGAAAAGTCCATTTAATTATCATAATCACATGGATCACTCCACAACCGGGACCATGTGTGGACACACGCAACCCCAGCACATGCACTATTCACACCTGGGTCTGGGGTGAGGAACCGGTGTGTGAACAGGACTCCTGGTGCCCAGCGCCCACCTTCACTCCCCATCCTCTGATCCACACGGCAGGCTGTCCATGGAGAAGCCGGTGAGTCCTCTGAGCTGCTGGAATCAACGTGCTCCTCCTCCACACACACCCAGGTCCTTGCCTGCAGAGCGCTGGCAGGGACCCGGATAGGGAGGGGCCAGGTGCAGCAGGAGGGTGGGAGCCACGGGAGGGACGCCCAGGGCCGAGGCTTGGGTCTCACTTGACTCTGGGGAACACAGCCGTGCCCTCTTCGCCTGCACAGCCCATCCGAGGCTTCACACACGTTTCCTCTGAGCTCTCCGCACCCTCCCAGAGCCCCTCCCAGAAAGACAGGTATCACTCATTTAACAACAAAGACATCAAGGCTGGCGGGACACAGCCAGCAGCAAAAGCGAGATGCCAGCCGACTCACCCACAGCTCCATCCCCACACCTGAAGCCTGTTAAGTGCACCAAGCCCCGGGGCCTAAAGAATCACTGCGCTTGGGAAGGTTTTTAAAAGACAAGGGACTCATCTTCCCCACGGCAGATGCAAGGCCAAGTCCAGGTAATGGTGCCCCGAGAGGCTGCACCACACCTCCGCAGACCGGCAGGTGCCGGTGGGAAGGGTGTGTCCACGCACCTCCTGGCCCAGGGGTGGCGCGCAGGGCAACGACAGGCCTAAGCAGACTGCAGGCGGAGTCTGCAGAGGAAAGGGGACCTAAAGGAGCCCAGGTACAGGTGCCCGTCGTGCTCGTGCACCTCGCTCACGTAAGCGGCCACCTGCCCATCGGGGTCGTGCAGGCTCCTCCGGAAGGCCCCGCTGTCACTGAGCTCCAGGACGAGGCTGTACCGCGGCACGAACTTCATCACCGTCTCCTGGCTGAACAGCTGAAAGGGAAGCACAGTGAGAGGAGAGTGTGACACGGGCCACGTGGAGTCCTGCAGGCCGGGCACCGTGGCTCTTGTCACCTGCTGTGCACATCCCACCCACCCTGCCCCCCACCTCCCCACCGGCTCGCTTCCACACGGCACTGCAGCTGCCTTTTTGAAATACCGGCACACCCCACACCTGAACAATTCAGTCAAGAAGTAGCTTGTGGAGCCAAGCAGGGTAGGTGCGTGCAGGGGCGGCCCAGACCAGAGAGGCGGTCTGAGCAGGGAGAGTCCACGCTGGAGAAGAGAGAGGGCCATGGCTCCAAGCAGGGTGTCAGGGCCCAAGCAGGGGAGATGGTGTCCTGCAGCAGGGTGACCTGGCACAGGCCAGGAGCCCTTGAGAGGTAAGGCCCCTGCACACGGCTGGGAGGAGGGAAAAGGGCTGGCATGGGTGCTAGAGCCCTAGTTGGGGCCATGTGATGCTGGGGCCACATGACAGCCGAGCCACATGACAGCTGAGGCCACGTGACAGGGGACAATGGCTACAGACAGGGACAACTGGGGAATCTGATCGCATAGGTATGAAGGAGCATGAGACCCGGGTTTCTCACCTTAGAGAAGGGAAGTACAAACACAGACGGTAAGAAAACTGGCATAAATCCTGTGGTATGGGACCGGAAGCAGAAATACAGCCTTACTTACGGTTTTCAATTTAAAGGAACAGATGAAGACACATAAATGTAGGTGTGAGGGTCTGTGCACGAACACGTGTGCATACACCCCCAGCTCTGTCACGAGGGCCTGGGAGCAGCGACCCCCGTCAGTAAGCACACTTAGCACCTGTCCCCTCTAGGAGAAGCCGGGCTCCCTGAGAAACGGCTGATCCCAGAGCCGGGCAGGGAAAGAAGGAGAGGAGCCTGAACAATGTGCAGGGCCAGGAAGCAGGAACTACTCCAAGAACGACTGGGACACATGCAAAGGTCAAGGGGCCATACGGAAGGGGCTCCCACTGGCCACAGCCAGACAATGTGAGCGTCCAAGTAAGCAACGATGGTTAACAGATCATAATCACTGATAAAAGCATCAACCCCCAGATCATGACACTTACTAACTATCCCCACAAAATACTTATTAATTACAAATGATAAAGAGTAACTTCATAGTGGAAACCCGGCAGCCACCACTGGATGAGGTGACGGGCACTGCAGGGACAAGTGGACACCACGCACCTCCCGACAGGTCACGCTGAGGGCACCGGAGAGGCACAGCCTAAACCTGACCGTGAGAAACACCAGGCAGCCCGAGGCAGGGACATTCTGCAGCAGAGCTGACCTGGGATCCTGAAGGTCAGGTCTGGGAGCCGCTCCAGGCTGAAGGGGACAAGGAGAGGTGGCGAATAAGCCAGCCCGACCCTGGGCACAGTCCCATTACAAAGGACACCCCTGGGCCACTGGCGAGCCTGAGCTGGGTCTGTGCACCAGAGGGTCACCCGTAACCGCGGGACATCCTGTCCCAAGGGGGTCATCCCTGCTATAGGAACAGCGCTTGGAGCGTCCGGGGGCGACAGGTCAGCCACCTGCCTGCAAACAGCTGAGGGAAAGACATTCTCTGTTCCCTTCCTGCTGCTTTTTAGGTCTGATGTTGTCTCAAAACTAAAAAAAGAAAATCCTCAAAGACTTCAACAACATTCTGAAGAAAATCTAACCTCCTTTTCACGTCTGCAAGGCCTGTGGTCCTCTCCCACCTCCCATCTCCCACCTGCCCCAGACCCACCATCTATCTCCCAGCCACATGATGACGCCGGGCCGCTCCTGCCCAGGACGCCCACGTCCGGGAACACGCCCACCCCGCTGGCCCTTTCTCACACACGGTCTTGGCTCCTGATGCAGACACTGTTTTAGGCGCTGAGGATAAAGGAGAGAACTCAACAGAAAAAGCACCTGCTCTGATGGAGCACACGTCCCACCAGGGCAGAGATGCATCCTATCAACCAGGGGAGAGATGCGATCACCACAGACAGAGCACATCCTCTGATGGGTACCAGCTTCAAGCACTCACTATACTCAGCTAAGGGAATCATCTGCATATTCTCATTAAATTTTTCCATCACCTAATGAAGTGCTATTCTTCTTCCACTTGACAGACAGAGAAACTGAGGCAGAGAGACCACGTCCCCTGCCCAGGGCCCCACAGCTGGTCAGGCCTTCCTCAAGACCCTTCTCCTTGCACACTCTGCCATTCTGCCCCCTCCAGGCCCCAGCGAACAGATGTAACTCTGCAGCCGACGATGCGTCATTTCTGAACAGTGACCTGCGGAACTCGGAACAACACTGAAGGCCATGGGCCAGCCTCACTGAGAAGGTGCCCACAGCCCTTGGCAGGGCCCAGACACAGGGCTACGTGCCACACAGACTCAGCAACTGCTGCCCAGCACCTTCCAGGACCTTAAGTCTCAAATAGTTTAGTATTTGCAACGAAATCCCATGAAGGGGGTGATGAGGCTCCAAGGAGGCAGGAGGAAGCGGGGCGGGAGGAAGGGGCACCTGCAACCACTCAAGGAAGAGCTGAGTTTGCTGAGCACGGGGTCTGGGGGAGAGCGGAGAAAAAGAAGGACAGGCAGGGCTAGAGGCCCCAACAGGTCACGATAGGGAGGGTGATGATAAAAACACCCAGACAAGGAAACCAACAGAAAAAACTCAGAGGGCTCAAATGTTCACATTTACGTTACAAGGCAAAGAATAAAATATGTTTTAAAGAAGTCATTAAAAGCACCAAATACTATAAGCAGAAGCAGAATTTTCAGAGCTTCCATAAAGGTAAAAAAACCCATAATTAGATGCATTTTCATCTTCCTTTTTGAAATCAATAGTTCTCATAGTTACCTTAAAAATCATTCTTTTAAGATACGGTCTCTCGGATAAGAAATCCAACATGGAAAACCCAGGACTGGAGCGAATGGTCGACATGCCGACCCAGTAACCCCCGGAGCTGCTGGCTCGGATGTTGTCTGGGAATCCAGGCAAGTTCTCCACAAACAGGTCGGCCCCTCCCTTCATCAGGCCAGACACGTAGAACCTGAAAAATTCGCCCAAGCAGGCAATGAGTGGCAGCCTCCCAACTGAAGGAAAAATTTTAGCCGAGCACCAAATTGGTCTTGGTCCCAATAACCGAATGGATACAACTGTAAACCCATCCATCACGAACGATGGCACAGCTGCTCCAAGAAGCCCTCAGAGCCCTGGGCCCAGCCAGCGAGAAGCAGGTGCGGGAAGCAGGGCCGGCCCAGGCCCACCAGCAGGGAAAAGGGCCGGGATCGCAGCCAGCATTCCATCAAGACCCTCTCAGCCCATGATGCGCAAGAAGGCTGAGAAAGGGACAGGTACCCGCTGCGTCCCAGGCTCTGCAGCTGACACCTCACAGCCGCCCGGCCCACAGCTCGGTGGACTTGACATCAGCTCACGCACCTCCTGATCCTCGCCATGGTCAATTCCGCCACCAGGACAAAGTCCTCCGCAGGAGAGAGCTGTACCCCGTTGGGGAACCGCAAGTGGTCCAGCAAAACCTTCACCTCCTTGGTCTCGGTATCGTACTCCAGCAGGCTGCGGGTGCCAACAGCGGAGGTCACACGGAGTGTCTGGGGGCCCCTGCTGGGCTGGAGCCCTGCTCCCGGTCTGGGCCCTCGGGCCAGGGCCTATGGAGGGGGACTCATCCTCCACGGGAGTAGCAGGGCCCCCATCCGTCGCTCAGACCAGTTCCAGGCTGGCCCTGCAGGCCCATCCCTGTCCAGGGCAGACCCAGGCACCCTCCTCCAGACAAGCCCACGGTCAGCTCTCTCGCTGACCTGAGCACTGGTTCAGCACCAGGGAGGGCCACCGTGGCTGCAGCCTCACAGGAGTCCCCTTCAGAGGTCGCCTGTGAGGTCTCCCTCCGCTGTGAGACCACACCCTCAGACAGCCTGGCCATTCTACCTTCATTTCTCCAAAGAAGAAAGTGAGAACATCTCACTGTTTCATTGTGTCCGCCACCTGTTTCCAGGAGACAGTAAGATCCTCCCTTAAAAGCTGAGTACTATGCTCAGAAACAGCCCAACAATTCCTGGATGTAATAAGCTCTGCGAAGTCACCCTGCCTGTCTACGGCCTCCCTGAGGAGAAGATCCAGAAGGAACACTCACCGACCATCATCCGTCCCCTCCATCACCAGCAGCAGATAATCTCGTCTTTGCCATTTGCTGCTAGAATCTGTAAAATAAATCTTCCTCCCGTCCCGAGTTACTGTAAGATCGTTTACGAAGGACATTTTCCTCCCCTCAATGGGTGTCTCGGAGGACAGCAGCAGTTTTACTTCACCTGAGGGAAGGCGGGGGAGGAAGAAAAGGAAAGAAGGGAAGGAAGAAAGAAGAAGGGGAGAGACTTGCTTGTATTCTAAGAACATGTAACTCAATAATTTCAAAATATCAATCGGCCTAACTGATTTATAAGGAAAAACTAAATGAGCTTCTCCGTGTCCTGACAGAAGATTTATTCCTTCTTACAGTAAAAATCAGTGTTTTCCTTTCTTTCTATTAGATGATGAATTTTTTTAGACCAGCTCCACTAAAGGCAGAATCCCCCCTCTAAGGATGAGGAACTCCTTTTATCAAGACCAACTGACTTAAAAATCTGGTAAGAATCTTAGGTTAAAAAGGCAATTTTCTATTTGTCTGCTTGAGAAAAATATAGAACGTTCACCTCATCTGCTTTTAAATTTAAAAAGCAGGACTCATCGTAAATCTTTTTAGATTGTAGCACAAACGTTCAAGGAACACTCAGCGCTTCCCACGTATAATCCCATTTAAACCCCCCACAACTAACCCACAAGGCAGGCATTCCCGTCATCCCTGCCCCGTGGGTGAGGAAAGCAGGCACAGAGAGGCTGAGTAACCCTCACACAGCCAGCACCCAGCAGAGCAGGGGTCTCCCAGGGGCCCGGTGCACCACCCACGATGGCAACTCCCCCCTCAGCATGAACCTCCCGCTGAAGCGCACACAGCAATATTGTAGCACTGATCGAGGTGACATCGTGCTCAGTCGGGGAGAGAAAGAGGAGAAGGAACTGGAGGAAGGAAAAGACAGAGAGGCAGAAAACAAACAGCAAGACCAGATGCAATACACAGAGAAGTAAAGATAGGAAGAGGAGCCTAACATCCTCAAAATGAGTCCTTCTGAGATCCTGTGGCTCAAACACAAAGGCCAGGGGAAAGGAGGGAATGGGCCAGAAGCAGGCATAAGTGAGGAGCCACAGGGTGTGAATACTGGCTGGTATCTGCAGGTAATATTTTCAGTTCCATTTAGTGAATAAGAAAAACATCAGGGTCTCCAGTAGACTGTACTGAACAAATTCTACTAAATCCATTTATAAATAAATGCACATATTGTTTAAAAGATCAGCAATCATCATAGAAGGAAACAAGTTACTGTCACTTACGTTTCCAGGGATTTACTTCAAATAGCCCTTTGTATGCATCAGCCACAAAAAGGGTCCCGTTGGGCCCAGCCCGGATGCCCAGGGGTCTCCCACAAGCACGCTCATCATCTCGGGTTTCTAGGGAAACAAACAGACAGGAATCAGTGGCTGGTCCAAGATTTGTGGCCCCTCAGTGTCCAAACACCTCCTCCACCCCGTCCTAAACCTTCATCATGCTGCAGAGAACATAACAGACCATGGCATCAGAGACAGACTCGGCCCCCCGTGTTCCAGCCCCGCTAGAGCTTAGGACAATTGTCCAGCATGTCTAGAGGGACCAACCGAGAATCTGGATGTGGACATAAGCACAGCAACTGATACCCAAGAATCAAGTTCACATCAGCATCCTGAGACTCAAACAGTTAACTCAGGGACATCAGCAGACACAGGCCCCACTCCCAAATCCCCCAGAACCTCAGGAGTGGGATTTAAGCCCAACAGCTGGACCTGAATGCTGTGCCCATCCAGGGACATGGCAGGGTCCCTCCTCCCGTCATAAAGGGAAAGCTCCTATTTTACTGCTTAGATCCATTCTCCTGTTCTACTACCTATAATCTTTTTAAACCCGTGGCAGAGCATATTTATTGCTGGGCACTCACTGCAGGGCACTTATCACAGAGTGCTTACTGCAGGGTGCTTACTGCAGGGCACTTATTATAGGGTGCTTACCGCAGGGTGCTTACCGCAGGGTGTTTACTGCAGGGTGCTTACTGCAGTGTGCTTACTGCAGTATGCTTACTATAGGGTGCTCACCGCAGGGTGCTTACTGCAGGGTGTGCTCCTCAAGGTGTATACTGCAGGGCACTTACTGCAGAGGCACTTATAGGCAAAATACAGAGTGGGAAAAAGCAGGTTAAATACCCAAATGTAGAGTATGATTCCATCACATAAAACCATGTGTGGGTGTGAGTATCCATGAACAGAAAGAAATCTGAAAAGTTAATCATTAAATTGTTAACAGTTACATTTGAGAAGACTCTGAGGTGATTTTTACTTTCTTCTCCGCATTGTTTGCATTTCACCATAAAAATGCATCATTTTTAGAAAAACATTCTAGCTCTTAAAAAAATAAGTCTGGGAGCTACCAGTTTTTAAACAGTGAGTTTCTAAAAGCTGAGCGACCTAAGGGTATTTCACTCTGGATGCAGGGCTGAGGTTCCTGAGGGGCTAGTACAGGAATGCACTCCAGCACGTGAGGAACAAAGCCCAGCACCTCCTGCAGCAACTCTGGGGTGTGGGGGCCCGGCAGGGCCACAGCCACAGCTGGATGGGAAACTGCAAGCACAGGTGGCAAATGAGGAGCCCAGGCAGCCTCTAGCTGGGCCGTCAGGCTCTCCTCCAAGGACCCGACTTGTGGGGAACACAGTTCCTCCTGGCACCCTCCTGGGTGCCTGGAAGAGACACACGTCAGGGGTCACTGACTTACTGCATGGGCCTGAGCCAAACCGGGCGATGGTCTCTGCTTCACCGTTTTCAAGTCTTACAATTCGGCCATCTGCTGTACCAGTGAACATTACATCTGTTTAAAGACAGGAGGGAATAAGGGTATTTATTACTGGGTTAGCCTAAAAACTGTGCTCTCACAACCTTCTACAACAGAGGCGGCCAGTCTGTGCTTTTTATCTCCAGAGAGGAAACGGCAGTTTTGAAGATGAAGGCAAGTGGTGTCTGGGGACAAAAGTCTTAACACGTGCAGCGATAAACCCCACGGGGGCCTCAGAACCAGCACGGTCGTGACCCTGAGGCTGGATCCAGGGCACAGCAGACACCAGTCAGGGATAAAAACAGGATTTTCTACCCTCAAAGAAGCGGGGACCCTCGGGCTGACGCTCAGCACTCGGGGCTGTTCACGTCTGCTTCACGTCAGTGTCTGCTGCTGAAGCCGATTACACCCAACCAAAGGGGAAGAACTGCTAGGAAGGCCCTCGGTGTAAAATTAAGTGCTCACTTCAGCAGCACATACACTAGAACTGGAACCACAAAGATGATGTGCAAATTCATGAAATGCTCCATATTTTTAAATGTATATTGCAAACTCTAGGACAACCACTAAAAAAAGTTTTTAAAACAAGTATAACTGATATGCGAAGAAAGGAGAGAAAATAGAATCATAAATGTTCAGTTGAAACTACAAAGTCAGAAGGAGAGTGAAAGAGAAAATAAGAAATAAAAAAACAAAGGCAATGAACAGAAAACAGTAACAAATACGGGAGATAGAAATCCAACTACAGTTAACCCTTGAACAACCTGGGAGTTAGGGGTGTTAACCCTGTGCACAGTCGAAAGTCTGTGTATAACTTTACAGTCAGCCCTCACATCCTCCAGGTCCTGCATTTGAGAGGTTCTGCATCGCAAGGTTCTGCACCCGTGGATTTAAGCAACTGTGGATCGAGTAGTGCTGCAGAATGTATGTACTGGAAAAAAAATCCACGTGTAAGTGGACCCACGCAGTTCAAACCCGACTTGTTCAAGGGTCAACTGTGTATCAATTATCATTTTCAACATCAATGGTATAAAAACCCCAATTAAAAAACAGAGACTGTCAGAGTGTATCAAAAAACAAGAGCCAACTATATGCAGTCTACAAGAAACCCTCTTTAGATATACAGACACATATAGATTAAAAATGAAGGGACAGAGAAAGATATACTACACTAACACTAATCAAAAGAAAGCTGAGTAGTTCTATTAATCTCAGAGCAGCTGCAGACCTAGGAACACAATCAGGGATAAAGAAGGCCTCCACGTAATGACAAAGGGTCAACTGTAGAGAAGACATAACAGTCCTTAACATGTATGTGCCTAAAAACAATCATCAAAATACATGAGGCAAAACTGACAGAACTGCAAGGAAGCAGATGAATCCATGATTAGGGGAGGAGACCTCAGCATACCTCTCTCAGAAATGGACAGATACTGATGGACAACAAGGTCTGACTGTACAGCACAGGGAACTATATTCAATGTCCTGATAATGAAAAAGAATACGAAAAAGAACGTATACATATGTGTAACTGAGTCACTTTGCTGTACAGCAGAAATTAACACAACATGGAAAATCAACTATGCTTAGATATAAAAAAATAAAAAGAAAAAAGAAATGGAAAGATCCTGCAGACAGAAAATTAGTAAAGACACAGCTGAACTCAACAGCATCACTGATTAACTGGATATCAACTACCTCATCCAAACAACAGCAGAATATATATTTTTCTCAAGTTCACATGGAACATTCACCAAGACAGACCATATTCTGGGCCACAACACACACCTTAACAAATTTAAAAGAATAAAAATCATACAACGTCTGCTCTCAGACCAAAACGAAATTAAACTAGAAATCAATAACAGAAAGAGAGCTGGAAAATCACAAAATACTTGGAGATTAAACAACGTGCACTTCTAAATAACACATAATTCAAAGAAGAAACCTCAAGAGAAATTAGAAAACATTTTGAACTAAGTTAAAATGAAAATACAACTTATCAAAATTTTCTGGCTGCAGAGAAAGCAGTGCTTAGAAAGAGACTTGTAGCATCAAAGGCATATATTAGAAAAGAAAAAAGACCTAAAATCAATCATCTAAGTTTCCATCTTAGGAAACAGAAAAAGAAGAGCAAATGAAACCCCAGGTAAGCAGAAGAAAGAAATAATAAAAATTAGAGCAGATATCAATGAAATTGAAAACAGGAAATCAATAGAGAAAACTCACCAAAACAAAAGCTGGTTCTTTGAAAAGATCAATAAAATACTGGGTTGGCCCAAAAGTTCGTTTGGGTTTTTCCCGTAAGGTGCTACGGAAAACCCAAACGCACTTTTTGGCCAACCCAATAAATAATCCTCTAGCCAGGCTAACAAAAAAGAGAAAAGACAGAAATTACCAATATCAGAAATGAAAGCGGGAACATCACTGTAGACCCCATGGACATTAAAAGGATAATAAAGGAACACTATGAACAACTCTATATCCACAAATTTGATAATGTAGATGAAATGGTCCAATTCCTTGAAAGACACAATCTGCCAAAACTCACACAAGAAGAGAAAATCTGAACAGGTCTGTATCTATTGAGGAAATGAATCAATAATTAATAACCTTCCAAAACAGTACCAGGCTGAGATGGGTTCACGGATGATTTCTACTAAACATTTAAGGAAGAAATGATACCAATTTTCTATAATCTCTTCCAGAAAATAGAAGCAGAGGAAATACTTCTTAAATCATTCTCTGAAGCCAGCATCACCCTAATACCAAAACCAGACAAAGTCATTTCAAGAAAACTACAGACCGGACTTCTCTGGTGGCACAGTGGTTAAGAATCTGCCTGCCAATGCAGGGGACACGGGTTCGAGCCCTGGTCCGGGAAGATCCCACATGCCGCGGAGCAACTAAGCCTGTGCACCACAACTACTGAGCCTGTGCTCTAGAGCTCGCGAGCCCCAACTACTGAGCCCACATGCCACAACTACTGAAGCTCGCACACCTAGAGCCCGTGCTCCGCAACAAGAGAAGCCACCGCAATGAGAAGCCCGTGCACTGCAACGAAGAATAGCCCCTGCTCACCGCAACTAGAGAAAGCCCTCGCGCAGCAACTAAGACCCAATGCAGCCAAAAATAAATTAAAATAAATTAAAAAAAAAAAAAGAAAACTACAGACCAACATCTCTCATGTACAAAGATGCAAAAGTCCTCAAGAAAATATTAGCAAATCAAATCCAACAATGTGAGGGAGGGAGACGCAAGAGGGAAGAGATATGGGAACATATGTATATGTACAACTGATTCACTTTGTTATAAAGCAGAAACTAACACACTATTGTAAAGCAATTATACCCCAATGAAGATGTTAAAAAAATAAATAAATATAAAAATAAATAAAAATCCAACAATGTATAAAAAGAATTATACACCCCAACCAAGTGGGATTTATCCCAAGTATGCGAGGCTAGTTTAGCATTTGAAAATCGGTTAAGTAATCCACAATATCAACAGACTAAAGAAAAACTACATGAACATATCAATAGATGCAGAAAAAGCATTGACAAAAACCCAACACTCATTTCATGATAAAAACTTTTAGCAAATTAGGAGTAGAGGGGAACTTCAACTTGATAAAGAATATCTACAAAAAACCTACAGTTAACAACATACTTAATGGTGAAAACTAGACGCTTTCCCACTAAAATCAGGAACAAAGCAAGAATGTCTGCTCTCATCACTCCTTTACAATACTGGACTGAAAGTTCTAGCTAAAGCAATAAGACCAGAAAAGGACATAAAAGGTATACTTATTGGGAAGGAGGAAATAAAACTATCTTCACTTGTAGATGACATGATTGTCTATGTCGAAAATCCCAAAGGATCAACAACAACAACAAAAAACTCCTGGAACTAATAAGCAATTATAGCAAGGTTGCAGGATACAAAGATAATATATAAAAGTCAATCAGTTTCCTACATACGAGCAATGAACAAGTGAAATTTGAAATTAAAATCAGAATACCATTTACACTAGCTTCCAAAAGAATGAAGTATTTGGTTTAAATATAACAAAATATGTACAAGATCTAGATGAGGAAAACCATGGAACTCTGATAACAGAAATCAAAGAACTAAATAAAAGGAGAGATATTCCATGTTCATGGATTGGAAGATTTAACATTGTCAAGAGGTTCTTCCCAACTTGATTTACAGATTCAAAGCAATCCCAAGCAGCTATTTTGTACATATCCACAAAATGATTCTAATGCTTATATGGAGAAGCAAAAGACCCAGAATAGCCCACACAAAAAGCTGGAGGACTGACACTACCTGACTTCAAGATTTAACTATAATGCTACAATAATGAAGGCAGTGTGGTAATAGCAAAAGAAGAGACAAATAGATCAAAGTAGCAGAATACAGAGCCCAGAAATAGATCCACAACTCATCTCTAACAAAGAAGCAAAGGCAATATAAGGAGGTATATAGATGGTCTCTTCAACAAATGTTGCTGGAACAACTGGACATTCACCTGCAAAAAGATGAACCTAGACACAGACCTTACACCCTTCACAAAAATTAACTCAAAATGGATCACAGACCTAGATCAAGTAAAACACAAAACTACAAAACTCTCAGAAGATAAAAAAGGAGAAAACTTAGCTGAATTTGGGTGTGGTGATGACATTTTAAATATAACACCAAAGACATGATCCATGAAAGAAAGAATTGATAAGCTGGACTTCATTAAAACTAAAAATTTCTGCTCTGAGAAAGACACCATCTAGAGAATAAGAAGACAAGCCACAGACTGGGAGAAAATATCTGCAAATGATGCATCTGATAAAGAACTTGTATCCAAAATATACGAAGAACTCTTAAAACTCAACAATAAGAAAATGGACAATCCAATTTTAAAAATATCCCAAAGACTTAAACAGACACCTCACCACAGAAGATATACAGATCGCAAATAAGCACATGAAAAGAAGCTCCACATCATATGTCAGCAGGAAA